TTTTGGTTGTGCCTGCAGGGTTCTGTTACTCAGTACCACTCTATAAAGCAGTAGTGATGCAAATAATTAACCTGGACCACAGGGTAACCTGCGCAGGTGCAGCCCCTGACAGTGGTGGGGTAGACACAAAGCCACCGCTGAGTCATAAGTGCCACACTGCATCTTTGCTGTCAGCCTCTGCTGAAGGAGCAGTGTGAGCCCCAGTACTAGGAACGTAGCATCTCAAAAGGGGGAATTAAATATTTGGCCATAAGCCATTCGGATTCGTAGTGCACTGTACTCATCATGATTTAAGTTTCTGTCTTCATAAGCGGGGACTACTGAAACTAAAGCTCATGATTTCAGCTCAGATTTTCTACTTCAATGTGCTAGAATATAGGTGTCCATCAGTATCATTATCATTCCAGAGAATAAGTCATCAAGATCGTTTTGGGTTATTTGCGGTGTCGGGGACAGAACCCAGGGCCTCCTGCATGCTAGGCAAGCGCCCCGGCTGGGCTGCAGCCCAAGCCCTTAACTCATTTTAAAAGCTGCTTACCACTCAAAACAGCCACGCAGCATTGGTAATCATGAGACACATGTAGCTATTTCAGTTCCAGTGAAATAAAAGGAAGACTTCAGTTCTCCATCCGCACTGGGCGTAGTTCAGGTGTTCCGTGGCCACATGTGACACCACTGTGAACGGTGTTGGTTTATCACGTTGCTGTCGCAGGAAGCCACGGTGTCAGGGCTGGTGCAGAGGCCCGTCTGCCACGTCCGGCCTGCCACATTGCTGTCAGTTTCCTGCGGCGAGGGAAGCTGTTGCCAGCCTGGCCCCTGTGGGCTTGTCGTGCGGGAGGCTGTGAGGGACACATCCACTGTACCCACACCTCAGTTCCCTCTCCACCTCACTGTTCCCCTGAGAGACACAGCAGTTTGTAAGTTCGCCTGCTCTTCAAACCCAACTTCATTTCTAGGCTAAGATGAAATATGCCTGGAAACTCCGGGGCTGGATTCAGGTTCAGGCCTCGTAATTATGCATAAGTAACACATGTAAATCATAAGCCTTTCAATTTTTAGCTTTGGTGCAGAAAAGAAGGAAGCTGTTGATGTTCACCGTGTGTGCAATGACGTAGCTCTTCTTCTAGTCTTTTAAAGATTCCTGCTGTAAGTTCTACGGAGCAGAGATGGAAGAGCTCGACTTTATCCACGCTACCGAGGAGTCCAGGAAACACATCAACTCCTGGGTGGCCCAGAAAACAGAAGGTGAAACTGTAGTTATTCTGTTTGCTTTTTGTTTTCGAGGCTGAGGATAGAACCCAGGGCCTTGGGCATGCTGAGCCGGGCTCTGCCACGGATCCACACGCCTGGCTCTGTTGTTTATTTTTAGTAGTATTTTAATCAGGCTTCTTGTCAGTGCCTTCATGGGAGCATCCAATGTAAACAAGAATGACATTTTCAAATTTGTTAAATAATGGCAAACTTGAAAGAGCCTCTTCTGAAATATTGTCGCGATTTGACATCTCTAGCTTTTCTCTGCTCAGCGCATCTGTGGAATCTCCTAAATATTTGGTACATCTCTTCCAGAACAATCCATGCTTTGATTTTCTTCTTGTTAACACTTTCTTTTCACAAACAGTGTAAGGAAATGTCACATTACAGATCCGAGGTGCCTCCGGCTCCAGCAGTAGCTCACACTTTTCGGTTTTCATGTCCTGTTGCAGGTTGATGGGCCATGTCTTCCTTTCCGTGTGAGTCTGTGCTTTACACGTGCAAAGAGCATTTTATAACCAGTCATTAAATTTTTTAAAATTTAATTATTTTTTCAGTACTGCAGGTTTTACCCAGGGTGTTCACTCTAAACCCACCCCCCCAACCCCTTTTTACTTTTTCCGAGACAGAATCCTTTCTGAGTTGCCCAGGCTTTCAAACTTGCAATCTTCCTGCCTCAGCCTTCCACCGTGGTGGGTTACAGGTGTGTACCACTGTGCTTGGCTGTTTTTAAACTAAAGCACAGAAGCATGGAAACTGTGCATATGGAGGGTACACCACATGATGCTTCCATATATGTGTAATACGGTGTAATGAATGCTCAAATCCAGCTAAACGTATCTGTCTGCTCAAACTCTTTTTTAAACTTATATTCACAACCACTCTTTCTTTTGTGGTACTGGGAATTTAACCCAGGGCCTTTGTCCTGAGCTTCATCCCCAGCCATATTTTCAATTTTTAAATTTTGAGACAAGGTCTTGCTAAATTGCTAAGTTGCCCAGGCTGAACTCGATCTTGCAGTCCTCCTGCCTCAGCTTCCCAGAGTGCTTTTTTTAAGTCTTCTAAGTGCTTTTCTTTAAGCCATGAGCATTGATCATTACTTTCTGTCTCTTCTGATATGAATTTATGCTGTATATTTGAACATCTCATTCATTTTTATGTGTTGTATTCAGTGGTATTTTTCTCACCAGAGCTTTTAAACTTTTAAAAAATTCATTTTGTTCTTGTGGTGCTGGGGATGATTCTTTGTTTTCTAGACAAACACCCTTTACATTTTGGGTAGTCAGTGAAATCCTTGACCCATGTGCTTGGCCATTCCAGGGGTCCCCTCTCTCTCTGACAGCCCTTCTGTGTGCATCAGCCTTGACTAACTGGCTAACTCTCCCTTTCAGATAAAATTACAGAGGTTCTGTCTTCAGGCACAGTGAATTCCACCACTAGTCTGGTTCTTGTGAATGCCATCTACTTCAAAGGAAACTGGGACAAACAGTTTGACAAAGCTAGAACCCATGAGAAGCCATTCAAAGTCAGCAAGGTAACAGTGTGGTAACCAGGGAGAGTCCCGGATGCATCCAGTGTTCCGAAACACGGGGGTGGCCACCTTGTGCAGCTGTGCTCCCCGGGCAGCCTGGCAGAGGGGACCCCCTCCAACCTCAGGGTCCCCCCACTGTCTTGCCCTGCTGTTAGTAGCAGGTGTGCCTGAAGGGCAGATCTGATGGTGTGGGTCTCAGGCTCACATGAGGTGTTTCCTTGGCTCCTCAGAACATTGGAGAAAAAGTCCAGACTCTGACGTGGTGTGTGAGGATTTTGTGGACCTGGCTCCTACCCAATTTTTTCCATCTCTTTCAAGTCACACACCTTTGGGAGCCCCGTGGGGTTTCAACCCCCTCTTCCAAGTAGCTACCTTGTCCCTGGTGTCTTGTGATATTATAGCAGTCACCTGACTTTTCTCACCCTCTTGAGAAGCCATGCAAAGGGCATGCGGCTGTCTTCCAAGGCTCAGCATACAGTTTAGCAAATACTGAACTGAGGATCTTCACTCTTACTTTGATAGTAGAAATAATACAAATGCAGTTTGAAAAAAAAAAAACAAGACAGGCTCCGAGTTTCGACACCTCTGGCTTGTAGTATACTATTTGCTAATAGTTCTGTACTTTCTCTCACTGGATCCAGTTTATTCTTCTGGTTTTGACAAAAGAAATCTCACCTCAGAGTATTTTGCACCAGACAGAATGGACTCCTCTTCGCAGTGTAATCCTGAGAGTACTGATCGCAGCTTAGATCTCCCAGGCCTTTGAATCTGAACCTTCTCTTTCTCAGGAAATGCATTTTGTTTTAAGATCTATTCTGAAATGATATGTTGTATTTTGCCCTTTAAGAGGCTCCGTTCCTGGAAAGTAACTTTAGCCGAGACATGTGTTAGGACTTGGAAGCCCTCAGCTGCGGCATTGGAAGGCTTGGTGTAGTTGAACTGAAGTGCTCAGTGCTCACGCCTGTGGGCCTGGGGTGAGCAGAGCCCAGGGCCCCTCCTGCTTTGCCATCCCCAGCAGCAGCCTTCCCAATGCCCGCACGGTGGCTCAGATGCCGCCTCTGCACTCAGGCAGGAGGGAAGGATGGACAGGGATACCTTCTGGTGGAGGGTCTGCTGTTGCATTCGGGGACCTCTGTGGGTGCTGCATGCTGGAGCTAGTTCGTGTGCTCCATGCCGGAGCTAGTTCGCATGTTCCCTGCTGGGCACAGCTAGTGGGGAGTTGGGTCCTGCTTTCCTGTCTCTGCAGCAGAGACAGTGTGGGTGGGACTGAGGAGTGTGGGGAGACATTGCCCAAGGCGGGGTCAGCCCCCTGTGGTAAGTGGGGCATTCCCAGCCCGGGCTGTTGTTCTGATGAAGCTTTGTTGGAAGTCTCTCCGCTTGTTTGTTTCCGCTTGCTAATGGATGGGGTTACAGAGTGCCTTGGGCTGTGTCTGTCCCATGGTGGGCGGGAGCTTCACAGGAACTAAAGTGGCCAGGAACTGAGGAGGACTGTTGGACAGGACGTGGTCACCATCCTCTGGTTTTTCTCACTGCCTGGCCGGGAATGCGCTGGCCACACGCAGTTTGATCTAATATGTGTTGGTTTTGCCTGGTCCTTCCGTTACTGCTGTTCACTAGTTTGTGCACAGACATTATTCATCCTCAGTGACTGAGTTAAGTTCCTGAAACTAGGTCATTCAATGAATCGGTCCCTAAATGAGGAATTATGAGTAATTGTGTATGGTATGTACAGTATGGTATTCAGAAGAGAGAAGTGGTCAAAGGAAACGCCAACTTGGTGACGTAATGCAGTGCTGCAATGTATAACAGAATCAAACTACAGTGGTGTACTGTACAACCAGCAAAAACTACTGAATAAATAGGGGTTCCGTACCCCAAAAAAGACACAGAGGCTTTATAAACAAGACATACAGAACTGTACAAATAAAAGCCAGGTTGTAAGTCCAAACAGCACACTTTGACCTTCAGTCTGCACATCTGTTAAACAGGTAGGTCATTAAACAAGGAGTATTTGTATTCATTAATTGAGCAGAGGCTGATGGAGTTTGTGCTTGCGGCCAAGCACTGATCTAATCATGCCTGCCCTCATGGTGCTTACGTTTTCCTGGGGGTAGACTAAGCATAAACAAGAAAATAGGAGTTACTAGTGGGTGGCGAGAGTACAGAGACACACACAGGGTCAGGTAGGACGCAATCGCAGGTGAGAGTTAGCAAGGACCCCTTTGTCGCTAAGGTAATATCTGGGCAAAGACAGAATGACACACAGGGTGCGCTGTGCAGTCTCTGACATGAGCCTTTGGGGCAGATGTGGAAACCATGAAGGGGTCCTGTGAGGAGCAGACTAGCGAAGGGATGGCGGGAGGTCCTGAGGTTGGAGAGGGGATGGGACTTGCTCCTCATGGTGCTTGTAGGTTTTTAAAGGAACTTCAACTTTTGTTCCTGGCCCAGCATGGCAGAGTGTCTGGTCAGAGCGATGTGTTCTGACATTTCACCTGGACTTCTCTAGCCGAGAAGTCACAAGGACTTCATTTCACTGTTCCTGGGAGAAGCTGATGGCAGGCATGGTTACGTTTCATAGGCAGAGCCAATGTGACTGGCTCCTGAGTCTGACTGGGGGCCTGAGAGAAAGAGGACAAGTTGGCATTCCATGGGTTTTGGCGACTGGATGGGTGATGTCACCATTAACTGATGGACAGAAGCGTAGGTGGAGCAGAGCTGGAAAGGTGGGAGAGGAGTCTGTTTTGTGTGGCATCGTGACTTTTCTGTCTGAGTGCAGGATTCCGGTAGGCAGTAAAACACCTGAGTTGGGAGTGCAGGAAGAGGTCCATGCTAGAAATATAACTTTGGGAATTGTGTTCAGTCAGTCACTAGGCTAGAGATCACCAAGAGGAGAGGAGTTGCAGAACAAATACAGAAAGTCAATTTATAAAGAGAAAAGGTATTTTGGTCACAGTTTCTGAAGTTCCACCATCGGGCAGGCCTGATGCTTTTAGCCTCTGGTGGGTTGCTGCACGACAAGGGTGAACCCGTGTGGTAGAGCAGAAGTGCTCTACTCCGGGCAGGGAGGAGAAAGGAAGAGGAGGAGGCCAGCGTCCCCTTTGAGGACACGCCCCCAGTGCCCTGAAGACTTCCACTCCTCCACCTCCCAATAGCGCCACCCTGTGGTCCAGGTCTTTAGGGCACATTTAAGGTTGACACCATGGCCAAGGTTGACACCATGGCTGAGGTTGAGGAGGGACCACGTGGGGTTCTGAAAACCTGTGAAGAAACTGTTCCTAGAGACAAAGTGTTCCTAGAGTGCCTTCCTTTGTTGATTTTGTCCAGTGGGTCTGCTTTGAGCTTAAGAGTTTATCCATTTCCTCTGCAGGATGAGGAGAAACCTGTGCAAATGATGTATAAGAAGTCTACTTTTAAAATGACCTATATAGGAGAAATATTCACCAAGATTCTGGTGCTTCCCTATGTCAACAAGGAGCTCAATATGATCATCATGCTTCCGGATGAACACATCGACTTGAAAACGGTAACAGATGCTCGGCCACAGCAGTGTCCTGGCATCTGGTTTCTGCTGTAGAGTCCTTCCCAGCTCCCAGATGGCTTTTAAAAAATATTTCAGTGGTGCTGCGGGTGGAGCCCAGGGCCTCGTGCATACAGGGCAGGTGCTGGACCCTGAGCTGCTCACCTGGCCCTGCCCAAGTTGCCTTATTTAGCACCACCTCCAACCACAGCCAGGCCCCCCTAGATGACATGGGGAACCCTGTCATCCACAGGGCCTCAGGCGATACCTGTATCCTGATCTCAGACCTTTGCCTCTCCTCTCCTAGGTGGAAAAAGAAATTACTTATGAGAAATTCGTAGATTGGACAGTGCCGGACAAGATGGACCAAGAAGAGGTGGAGGTTTTCCTCCCTAGATTTAAGCTGGAGGAAAATTATGATTTGGAGAATGTCCTTCGCCGCCTGGGTGTGACTGATGCCTTCGAGGGGGCCAGGGCAGACTTCTCTGGAATGTCCTCCAAGAGAGACCTGTTTCTGTCCAAAGTTGTGCACAAGTCCTTTGTGGAGGTCAACGAGGAGGGCACGGAGGCGGCGGCAGCCACCGCGGCCGTCATGATGATGCGGTGCCTGCGCTTCACACCCTCCTTCTGCGCCGACCACCCCTTCCTCTTCTTCATCCAGCACTGCAAGACCGGTGCGGTCCTGTTCTGCGGCCGGGTTTCTTCTCCGTGAGGTGGCCAGGCCGGAGCAGCCCTCCTCCCCCTGCCCCTACATGCTGTCCCTCTCTGCACCGCATGCCTGTGACCCCAGGGACCTTATCCATGTGGCGCGACAGCCCAGAAATAAAAGGCCCGTCTGGGACCCACATCCCAACCCTGTATGCTCGTGTGTTTTTGTCACATGTGTTCTTACGCTCTGGTTGCCTTGGCTACTGGGCTCACCCCTACAGGCAGGGACAGACCTCAGGAACCCGGGTGGGAGTTTGGGCCCAGCACTGAGCACCATCTGAAGGCCATGGAGGGGCAGGGTGGTCAGAAGCTTCTATCCTTGGCCACCAGGCCCCTTCGAAACTGCATCTCTTCTCTCTGAGGGGTGTGTGGATCATAGGTCTGGTCAAGAACACATAGCCCTTTCGCTCTGCAAATGTCACCTAGTCATGGGGCTCAGAGACCCAGGGGCCCAGCATCCATAGGAAGGGTGGCTATGGCAACCACATTAGACCCTGGTGACTTTCTGTTTCATGGTAAATGTTACATACTGAAGGTGGGGGTGCAGTTTCTGCAGCCACTTGAGGCCCTTGCTGGGAAAGCAACTGCAGCATCCAGCAATGTGGGGATGGACAGATGGGCTGATTTGTGGGCCTTGTGGAGCCCGGGGAAAGACCTCTCTGCCTGTCAGTCACATCAGCACAAGCCCAGGCCTTCCGACCTCACCGAGGCAGCTCACAAGTTCCTGCCGCAGCTGGGCCTCTCACCCCAGGTGGAGGTGACGGATGCAGCCAGGGAGCATGGGGAAAATGGCAAGTAGGGATAAGATGAGGAAAGGACGGGGACAAGGGCTTGCTGGTAGTGCCCCTCATCCTGGGTCTCTTTTCTGTTGCTATGAGGAACTGGGGCTGGATACTTCGTATTAAACAAAAAGCTTGTTGGGCTCAGGTTCAGGAGGCCCAAGGGCATGGTGCTGGCTGGGCTGAGCTCTCCAGAGGTCCAGGACGGGATGTGAACCTGTGTGGGGGCCATTCTCATGGGAACCAGCCCACCCAGTGGTCTCCCCCAAAAATGCCTCTGGGACCCGCCCGGGGACCAAGCTGCCCACGCTAACCACGGCTCCCTCCGCCCTGCTCTGGATATTTTTTAAAGAATTAGGAACAAGGGACTGGACAAGGGCTCTAGGGCGGGGCACTCAGCAGATGTGAGGCACTGGGGAGAGCCGCTCAGAGCTCAGGCCTGGGATGTGGCTGCTCCGTGAGGGACAGAGGGGCCCAGGGTCGCTGGCGTGGGTGGGGTGGGGAGACTCTGACTGCCCAGCATAGTGTCTTCATCCACTTTCTCCCGGGATAAGGCCATATCTGTGCCAAATGGTCAGCAAGATCAGCAGCCTCCTTGCAGATCTCTAACAGTGTCCACTCTGAGCTCGCTCGCCACCTCTTTGTGACTTGCCACCCCGTAGCTGCTGTGAAATTCTGTTGGAAGAGTTTTCACTCAGCCTGTGATTTCAAGAAAAGGCGCCATGACCTGAATGATGTTTCTACGTCTTGTATGAAATGACTTTTTTTCTGTGGCGCTGGCGAGTCAACCCAGAGTCTTTGCATTGAGCTATGCCCCTAGTCCTTTTATTTTTTGTTTTGAGACAGGGTCTCCCTTAATTGCTAAGTTGCCAAGGTTGGGATTTAACTTGTGGTCCTCCTGCCTCAGCCTCCCAAGAGGGCTTGGATTGTAGGTGTACAGAGAACTATGCCTTGCTAATAGTTTTTTTAATCTAAAAATTTTGTACAATTAATATTCTTACTTAAAGTATTAATCAAAGCTGCACAGGAAAGCAAGGCTTTCTTATATAACTAGATGTTGGGGAATTGTAGGAAGGATGGGATGGGTGGTCTATTCTTTCTCTAAATCATTAAACATGTGCCAAGCTGGGTGTTGTGCAAAGAAACTGGGAGTGGTGGTAATTTCCTGGAATTGCAGCACTTTAGAAGGCTGAGGAAGGAGGGTCATAAATTTAAGTCTTGCCTGGGTAATTTAGCGAGACCCTGTCTCAAAAAGAAAAGAGGTGGGGCACAGTTCAGTGACAGACCAAATAACACATTTTACAGCCAGAGAACTAAAGCAATAGGCTTGTGATTCTGGAATTCACTGCTCTTACCATGTTCCTCACCATCCGGAAGTGTCTGGATTGACAGGTGGACCCGTCTTTCGAAGACACAGCTGAGCACCCGCTAGGGGGGCAGTATCTTGTAGGGCAAATTTCTTCAAAAGGCTGTGTGTACTTTGCATCAGTGTCCACTCTATGGTACCAAGTCTCCCATAGCCAGGATCCACAGGTCCAGGAATCAAGGGTTGGAAGTGGGAATGGCACCACTCACATCACCCACTAGCAAAATATTTGCTTCCTGTGTTCACGGCCGTATGCTCTGCTGATTTAGAAGTCTTGGTTCCAAAGAGGGGAAGGGTTGTACCCGGAGGTATTGAACTGGGGGCTAACGCTTCCCCTGGTCATTTTGCTCTTCCTTCTGAGTAAGCCGGCTACGAGGGAGTGACAGTGTTGGCAGGGGTGACTGACCCAGATGATCAAGGGAAATTTGGACTACTACCCCATAGTGGAGGAAAGGTAGAATATACTGTATTGGGGGCAGGAGACTCCTTAGGGCACTTCCTGGTTCTGCCCTCTTAGTAAGATCAATTGGAAACTAAACCTGATCCAGGCAGACTGGGATTGTGGACTGATACAGAGGGAGAGACAGAGGGAGCTCCATTTCTGCTGTGTAAAAAAAGACAGTGGTCCATAAACAGGAACAGAGTTCCCATCCTCACCAGACCCCCACAGTGCTGGCACCCCGATCCTGGTTGTTCCAAGGATTTTGTTACAGCAGCTTGAGCTGAGACTCTGGCGTAGTGCATAGTCATAAGGTTTCTGCTTAGCTGAACCTGCTGCTAGCAAATGTCACTGGTATTTTTCTCAATATGTCTTTCTAAACATGATCTTCTTAAGGGAAATTTTGAAAGCACTTTTTCTTTTCTTTTTGGGGTACTGGGGATCGAACTCAGGTCGTTGCACTTGCAAGGCAAGCAGCGGAACTACTGAGCTAAATCCCCGGCCCTCGCCTTTTCTTGTTAATAGATTTGAAATCCCCACCGTCATCAGCTGACTCATGTGTGACCCATGCGGCTGTGCAGGCCCTGCACTCAGAAGCCTCGGTGGGCTTCATGTTGCTGGCATTGTCTTGGGACTCTTCCTACGTTTTGAACAGAGGGTCTGAGACTTTCACTTTGCATCGGCATGAAGATCATGTGACTGGTCTTGCTGTCCACTGCAGTAACTCTTCACTGAGAAAGCTCAGGGTTGGGGATTTAGCTCAGTGGTTCGGTGGCCTGCCTGGCAAGTGCAAGGACCCGAGTTCAATCCCCGGTACCAAAAAAAAAAAAAAAAAAAAAAAAAAA